TTTAGCCATAATTACAAAACCAAGGTTGGATTAATGAATTAATGAATATTAGATGCAGAAAGCTTGCCGATAGAAATCACTTTCCTGAAGAGTTAGTACGGCTGATACATTTATGTCAGGAAAATAATCATCTTTTTGATTAAATTGTTAACAATATCTGTTTAATGAAGGTTACGTTTTCAGACAGAGCCTAGTTAGCCAAAGATGGACGAGCTGAGACGGTCGCAGAATAACGGGGATCAGATGTCGTCTTCTAATGAGATCGAACTATAAATCTCTTCAGCATTCACTTTCATGCAAAAAAGTACCCAAAACAAAAGGACTCTTATTCAAGAAGTCCTCATAATCTATCAATGATTACCCCACCATGAGCGACCCAAGGCGACTTCTAGTCATATCTTGGCCAACTCCATGGAGTATACTCGCTTTCTTAGGCTCCATGTTCTGTCCGAAAGGCTTGACTGGTCTTTTGCGTACACAAGTTGGTAGAACTATGCAGCAGCTTTCCCGAAGGTACAGTTACTACCTGGCCAGCCTGCCGTAAGTGTGCAAGACTGCTGTTGTGAGGTGGGGTTGCCCAGCAAAAGACTATTGTATGATGCATTGGCGAGAATTGTAAACGGTGCAAAAGGTGCTCGCAATAAAGCATTACTTGAAGCTGAAATGTTGAATGTGGGCCATGAGGAGTTGGTATGCCGGGTACCCTTGCATCGGGTACAGTAAAAGGTCGCTTGTGCGCGGGAAACATAAGGGACTGGGAACTGCGCGTGACCAGGCTGTGTCTGGTTCGGACGATGAAGTATGCCAACAGGAGGCAGACATGCACAAAGCGACTAGCTATGGCAAGGAGCGGGCTCGAGGTATCCGGAATGATCGGATAGGGCCAGTGACTCATTGTCTCCATCCTGTAGGCGGAGTCGCTGAATGACATGAATGCAAGGGGAGATTGGTTGGGAATACAGGATAATGAGTATGGATGGCTAATGATTGGATAGACAGAGAGTTGGAGCACTTGTGAGCTGTGGGTAAGGGAAATGTGTGGGCGAATAGCAGCTATCCTATATGAGATGCATTCACCCTATTTGGTTTAAGATGATGAAGGACTGATAGTTGAATTTTCCTACAATGATATGGGTAGAGCCGACGTTTCCATTGGATTTCACACAGCCTTGCTTGCCCAAAAGATATTCTCGTTCAGATACCCCCAGCGGGAGTCGAACCATGGCACTGCAGCGTGTTAGCTCGACACGTCAGCCACTACGTCACGTGTGCCCTTGTGCCAGAGGGAAGGTGTGAATTTAAAGGAAGGCCGGGCATTTTCCCATGTCACATCCTTTGCTGGGATTGCCGATTAAGCAGAGTTGTGTCTGCTATAACAATAGATTGCATTACTTATTTTTCGTTTATGAGTAGGCTTTCGAGGCTACCGGTAAATCATTTACATGAGATGTGCATACATCTCATATAAGGCCTAGGCGAGGTCAAAACTGCAGTCTACTTCACCCTTTCCCACGCATACCAGTGTGGGAAAATTCAACTTCCGCTTCTTCATCATCTTAAACGAAATAGGTTGAATACACCGTATTTAACAGATTTATTGATAGCCTCGAAACACTACTCATAAACCAAAAAATATGAGGTGTAATTACACTGATTGAGCGAAAATCTGGGAAGATGAGCTAAGGAGTGTGACACATGCCATGCTCTTTTGGAAGTATGCCCTGACACAGAAATGGAGGCTAACGAGAAGCGTGTTGGATTGAAACGCGGGTGAATCGAGGCCAGCACACTAAAATCTTAGACAGTATTCGGACCTGCGTTTTAGACACCTTAGATCGCAGAAGGCAGTGATTTCCAAACCGCGAAATATTATAAAAGCTTCAATTTGGGAAAGTGTGCAGTGATTGGCAGGCTCATCCATTACATTAATTGGTAAATATTATTAGGGGGAACTG